CCACAGTCCCCCAGCTTCCTAATGAGAATGGGGTGAGAGACAGTGTCAAAAGCCTTCCTGAAGTCTAGGAAAACTATATCCACTGCCACCCCTGCATCCAATGATTTAGTGACCTGGTCGTAAAAGGCCACCAGGTTGGTCTGACAGGACCTGCTGCTGATGAACCCGTTCATCACGTTACATGTTAGGAACTAATTATAGGAAAGGTTAATTGTTTCAAGGCTTATTTCAACTGACTAGAAAGTGTAAAGTTTTGACAGTATTTTAAAAGGTGACTTGTAAAGGAAAGTCTTTTTTGCTGTTGAAAGCCATCTAAAGGTGGCCTGAAGCCTTTTGAAAAGAGTTTTTATCTTTAGAAATATCAGGAATATCAAGCCTGGTCTTGCCTATTCTTACTGGGTTCAAAAGGGGTCTAGAGAACTGAATTGAGAACTTTTCAGATCTTTTATTGCCAGGTAGCAGTGTTTTGAAAAATAAATAGTTCTCTTAAGGTGCTGGTCAAGCATTTTTGTTAACCACTGTTTAACTTAAAATTTAACAAGCTGACCAGATATTCTTTAAACCGTGTTTCTTGGGTTTCACTTTTGTTTGTGCTATTATTTCTTCTGGTCCTTTATTCCTTCAGGAAGGTTAGCAGTAGTAGTCTTAGTAGTGGTAGTTTATTTATGTCTTTTGCTAAAACAATCCAGTAAAATTAACAATAAAATTCTATAATAAAATATTATAATTGATGGTTATTGGTAAAAGCATAACATAAGATTACACATTCTGCCACCTTAAAGTATTAGTGATCATGTTTTTATATGATCATTAGTGTATGGTCATATAAAAAGAGATTAAATGAAGCAATATATGACCATAGAGTAAAAAGTTTTGATTTTGGCCCTTATTCTTTGTCCAAGTAATGTGAATACACCTAGGGAGTATGGGACAGTCTGCAAGTTGTTAGAGAGGAGCCAGACTGGTTTCTTTTCGTTAGCCCAGTATTTAAATTTTTCCGCTAATGGAGACATCATCCATTTTTCTCTTATTCAAGAGACCACAAATAGTGATTTCAGTTACTTTTCATTTTTCCCCATAAGAGCACACCCTGTCAGTATATGGGATTTGATACCACCTGCCCATGGTGACTGGAAATCTCATTAAAGTGAATCACAGTCTAGTAATGGTCTCTCATTGTTTATAGTGTTATATTTCAGCTGCATAGGTTTCTAGGCCAAAAGAGTGCTTTATTAATCTCAGAAAAGACACAGTTCAAGAGAACCTTACTGCTTGTGTATTTGTCTGCATGCTAGCATCTTTAATTCTTAAATTTGTATCTTGTTTTAAAAATTGGAGAAATATTGGGTCAGTAAGTGTCAGTGCATTTTCCAGGCCA